TTTTCTATTAATTATATCTGTCCACAAACTYAGATTCCAAGTCAACTGTTCATGAYRAACTCCAAGTCAACTGTTCATGACGAACTTAACACGACATCATTGAAAATATTATTCTAATATAAACGATTGATGTATATTATTTTCTGTCCAATTATCTTCCTAAGAATGCAAGTATGAAACACGTACCAGAAAGACCTACTAGAAACATATACTTGGAATAATTCAAACATGCAAGTAAMRAAGTCCCAAGGAACGAAGCTTAGTTGATGTTTGTTAGGTAACTGCTACTTTATACGTAATTCCAAAATATTGCAAGAAAATTAGTTTATAGATTATTTGACCATATCCCATGCAATAAATAAAACTTTAACGTCAATAAAACATAATTTTTGAATTCTAAACGGGTCAAAGTAAATGGGTTCATAGAGCTAATTTTCTAGTTTTCGTGTCGAGTCATTATTCATACAAATACCATGGAAATTAATATCGTCCATATGTTATTTGTATTAATATCGTCCATATGTTATTTGTATTATATCCTTGGGTTTTTAGTATTACTGGTCTCGAGAGTTGATACAAGWAGCACCCACATGTTGCCCARCAACTGCAACCTTTGTATTCTATTATTCTTGTGCATTTTAAACCCTGGATTATGTGCAAATTTTGTAGATGTGGACGTAGGGATTGTTCTTCACATGGAATCATGGATCGGAAAATCCATTCACAGCAGCATTATGATGGCAYTATCGGATTTCTATGCTCGTAATGGTGGTTGCAGAACAAGGATTGTTATCCACACAAGGGATTCCAAGGGAGATCGATTACAAGCTATATCATCTGGTAACAAATATTCATCTTGTCTTGTTTAGCTTTSTAGTAACGGATTTAAATCACCCCATCCATCCATCATCTCAAAGTCACTAATTTCTTACAAGGCGAATGTAAACCAAAAAGAAAAACCCACCAACGATCTTCTACATAAAGCTATATATATCACAAAATATGTACGCATAGGTGTGTATGTGTGTGTGTGTCTCTCTCTCTCTCTGTATATGTGTATGTGTGTATATATATATGTGTGTGTGTGTGTGTGTGTTTTTTTCATAGTTGGGTGATTTTAATTTCTAGAAAAATTAATTGTTGGTTATCCAAATTGAAAAAAGGATTAAACACTTAAATAAGTTTGCATATTAATTTAAGGCCATCACCGTTAYTTTATCTTAAAGTTGGTTTTGTTTTTACTTGTTGAGCAGTAGTTGATCTTCTGAATACCGTTAAGGTGCACACAATCATAGGCCCAGAAACATATATCGGATCAGAGCTACTGGGTTCATTCACTGATAAACCCAAAGTTCCCATCTTTTGTTTTGCTTGTAAATCCTTAATGCGATATCCTTACATGTTCCAAATTAAAGAAGATGAATTCGCCATGGCCAAAAGCATTGCTGCTGTTATCGAGTCATATAAATGGAGAGATGTTATCTTTATGCATGAGGACGCTAATCATGGATCAGATCTGTTACAATATCTGTTGGAATCATTCCAGGACAAAAACATACGAATTACTTATAGAAGCGTTGTTTCTGCCTCYGCCAAACATGATCAAATCAATCATGAGTTGCATAAGCTCATGAGTGTTCATACAACTGTGGTTATCGTAGATCTATCACCTTCACTAGCATCCAGGGTTTTTCTAAATGCAAAGAGGTTAGGAATGATGAGCAAAGAATATGCATGGATTTTAACTCAAAAAACCATTGAAATCTTGCAATCAGATGAATTTGAAGTTATCGAGTCGTTGCAAGGARCACTTGGTTTTCGGTCTTATATTCCAGCATCAAGCAGGCTGCATTTCTTAACAAAAAGATGGAAAGAAGAGTTCTMAAGAGAAGTGCCTATGCTTRCCATTTGGGCGTATGACACAATATGGGCACTTGCAGAGTYTATTRAGAGGGTTGGAGTCCCACAAAATGGTTCAATACTACTAAGTGAAATTTTGAAGATCAATGGATTTAAAGGTATGAGTGGAGAGTTTCGGCTCAGTGAACGAAAAATGATGTCCAATGGATTTGAGATCGTAAACGCAATCGACTATGGAGAGAGGAAAGTGGGATATTGGACATCGTTAAAAGGAATCAGGAGAGCGCACCAGCAGTTAAACAATGTTGCTCTACATTCTCGTATTAATATAGAAGATGTTATTTGGCCTGAAGGGTCTACAACCACTCCAAAAGGTTGGACAATACGAGTGGGTCCTCGTAAAAAGTTAAGAATTGGTGTCCGAACTGGACTAAAATTTAAGGACTTCGTAAATGCAGTTCATGATGATAAAACAAATGTCACAAATGCCACTGGGTTTTCTGTTGAGGTTTTCCAGGCTTGCATTTATGCATTACCATATGAAGTGCCTTACGAATTCATTCCATTTGGGAATGGAAGTTACGACGCACTTATAGATAAGGTCTATAAGAAGGTATGAGATACATTCATATACATCTTTAATACGCATAAATTGCTCAGAAATATATCTAGAATTGAAGCTGGTTTTTTCTATTCTACAGGAAATTGATGGGGTCCTAGGCGATTCAACGATTCTGGCCAACAGATCCGAACTTGTTGATTTCACAGCAACTTACTCCGATCTTGGTTTAGGAACACTGGCAAAAATCAAGAGAAAAGACATGTGGATCTTCTTGAAGCCATTGGGTGCAAATCTATGGCTAACTGTTGCTGCTTTGTCATCTTCACTGGCTTCATTGTGTGGGCTATTGAAGCTATGAATCAAGAATCAGAAATCTCATCATCTCAACGAATTGGAACGATCTTTTGGCTCATCCTATTGAGCATCTTTTCAGCTCAAAGTTGTCTCTCTTTCTTTTTAATTAAGATGCAATTACTATCTTGAAACATAGTTTAATTAATCTAKATCTGATGATAGTGTGTTGTGTTTCACATCCCAGAAGAGAAGTTGTCAAGCAACCTGTCGAGATTTGTGATTTTTTCTTGGTTATTCGTGGTTCTTATCTTGATTACAAGTTACACGGCAACATTGTCCGCACTGATGACAGTTGAACAGTTTGAACTAGCTTCAAAAGGAGGAATTGTGGGGTTTCACGGTGGGTCTTTCTTTGGRGGAGTGACAGTCAASAATATGAACTTTACTGATTCGAAGCAAARATCATATTATACCTATGATGATTATGCTGAGGCGTTATCAAAAGGTGGAAAGAATGGTGGCGCTGATGCCATTGTTGATGAAGTTCCTTACATCAAGATGTTCCTTGGCATGTACCCTACTGACTATGCCATGG